AGAATGATTCCGTGCTTATCCTACTGGAACAATGTAAACGTCAGCAAATAGAGCGCTATGTTTTGCCATTTATTCGAGAAGTAACTGGTGCCCCAGAGCTTAGATGTATATTACCATTTGATTGGCAACTGAACGATTTGGCCGCGTTTTGTAGCGATCCAGCTCAGTTCTATGTATTTGGCGTTGATCCAACTTTTAATCTTGGACTATTCAATGTCACTGATACCTCATTCAAAAATCTAAAAGTAGTTGATAGGAAAATTGTGTTCACCCAGTTATGATTGGCCCATTGCTACTTAGCCAAACGAAGACCTTTGACGCCTATAACCAATTCTTCAGTAAGCTTGTCAGCCTGAATAAGGATGTTCGTGGAATTTTGGCACATGGAACTGACGGAGAAGAGGAATTGTTTAACGCATTGAGTGTCAGTTTCCTCCACGCCTTACATTTAAGGTGCTTTATTCATTTTCGCGAAAATTGTAAAGAAAAGTTAAGGTCATCCAATCTCCCAGAGCAGGTCCAGAAAGAATATCTGGCTGATATATTTGGACGTCGTGTAGGAAATGTTTGGGAGCAAGGTAAACCGTAAACAATTAAACATCAATTTTTAATTTTATAATTGAATGTGATTATGCGTCGCAAGTAATCTTTTCATAGAACACTATGTTTAATTACATTTTTCACTTCTACAGGTCTCGTTGACGCAAAAGATGCAAATGATTTTGAGCGCAAGCTAGGCGAGGTTAAAGAATCTTGGAAAGGAATGGAAAGGAAAGGAAAAGCAATATCTCCCAAACAGAAGTCCACCTGCATTCTTTGATTATATAGAGGGAAAGGTACGGATATCATGATTATTTGCTCTATGATTTCTAGTGTGTAGTAGGCGCTTAGTACGGGTGGGAGAAGAGGGCGTCGTCGAGAAAACGCCTGCTCAAATGGCTGATAGATGTTTTGTACTTAACATCTTTACCGGTTCACCAATTATCCAATCATAGTCGAGATTTATATTTAGCATCATGCATGTTTTTTGCTCGGCAACAAGGGAGATTTTATGCTATTTTAGACATCACAGAGCTTTCATCCTTTAAAAGGTTTCTGAACCACGGTTGTTTAAAGTATTCTGCCGTAGCAAATAACAGGTGAGCATGTTTTGAACTGTTATTCTTTAAATCATAGTCCAACTTCATGGCTGCAATGCCAAGTGATGTAGCCTCAGCTATATCTGGTCTTGAATTATACTTTCAAGAGGACAAATAACAAGACAACTATAAGAAATATTCTATCCCTGCTCGTGCTGGCATGTAGCAAGCTTTGATTATACTTGAAAGATCAAACTTTGTTCGTATCTCGTAGGAAGAATTGCGATAATGTCTTCACCACGTAGCAAATTAATAATAGACTTTCTCTGTTCTGGTTTCAACTGAATTTCGAAACCTAAAAGACTTGAAATATCAGAAAGAGTTTCCTCCAAAGCATTAACAGGCATATTTTTTTATGAGAATATATATGCGGGCAAAATTATTGTTGACATTTCAGTTACGTAATTACTTCCGTTTAACGAGATTGACCAATGAGAATTAAAGCCGAAGTTTCTTGGGTCAAAAACACATTTGTCATAGCCATTTGGGCAGGTGTTTATTTAACGACGCCCTCTCTTCTCCCGCCCGCACTAAACGCCTGCTACGTAGGCTATGATTTCTGGATTGATTTACCATTACCTAACCCAAACCATAAAACAATTATGGAAAACTGACTAAAAAATATTATTACTCTATGATGATACTTATTTTCTTTCTCGGTTATTTTGCAGACCGATATGATTATTAAGTCGATGATAAAGCCTGTTCGGCGACATGCTGGCTTAGGAGATCCACCTGCAGCTTATTATAACAACGTCCCTGAGGCAGCAAATGCCATGATCAAGAGAACAGTCAATTTCAAAGAAAATGAGATGTCGGAATTTTGCAATAAAATGAGTACTCATGTCATCTTACAGCAAAGTCGTAGAGTCTGCCGTTTTCAATCATGGCCCATTTCACTTGACTCCTAAGTTTTCAACCTATCAAGTTTCGCCTGAAAAATGGTTCAGGATGAGCGTTAAGCAGAAGGAAGCAACTCTGAAGAAATTTCACGCAGCAAAAATGTCTGATGCGGACACAAGTGGATCTGATGCGTCTATCATTGATCAGCAACACACAACAGCATCCGAAGAATCCCAGCTTTCAGTCGACCTTTCACAATCTGGCATCACATCAGTAACCAATGGCAATTTCGAAAAAAGCAAATGAGCTCCTTAATATAGAGGGTTCTGTTTTACGCGCACCCGGCTCTAGTGAGGCATTTGTGGTCGAAAGCCAAACATCGACAAAACCGCATTATGTTGCAATTGCAAAAAATGGGAAAATAACATGCAATGACTGCCCAGGGTGGAAAGCGTCTAAGCTATGTTCACATGTTGTTGCTGTTGCAGAGAAATCCCAAACGACAGTGAAATACCTTAAATGGCTTAAAGATAAAGGTCCAAGTAGCATAAACATCAGCATTTTAGCCGGCGAACGACAAAATTCGACAAGGGCCGATTAATTGTTGAGAGCCGATTAGCGTTAACTTGCCGTTATAGTATAAAACTTCTACTCCTCATTTCAAAACTTTGCGGGACCATTTCATATAATTATACCCAGATTCGCCGGGGCTTTATGATCCACATTGGTTATTCACTTAAATCTTACGTGTCATTAGGGTTTTCATGTATTTCACTGTGGCTTCTCAATTTGCCAGAGCTTCGCCAAAAATGAAACCTCTTCTAGTTGTACGGTAGTACTGGATATATAACTGATTTTCCTATAGTTGTGTTATATAAATAACCCATATATGTATATTAATATTTATATTGTGCTGTATTTGAATTAAATAATTGAACTTCAAATTTTTTCATGTCTGTTTTTAAAAAACGTTTTATTCCCAGATCTCATTCCGCATTTTAACCCCATATCCGTTCCGTTCCGCATTTTAACTCCATATCCGTTCCGTTCCGCATTTTAACCCCATATCCGTTCCGTTCCGCATTTTAACCCCATATCCGTTCCGTTCCGCATTTTAACCATTTTAATTCCGCATCCGTTCCGTTCCGCATCCGCTTCCGCATTTTAACCTAACCCCTGAGCTATCAGAGGTTGGACAGCAGGGCGCAAAGTATCATGGGTAATGAGCGCCTAATTCCGCGCGTGGCTTCATTGACTGTTGACTGTCGAGGAGTGAACTAGTGATGGGCGATACCAGCTTTCTTGGTTTCGATACGATACCAGTCCGATACCATGAATATTGGTCGATACCGATACTCAATTTTTTCCATCTATTAAAATAACTTTTAAAACAAGAACATTAATGTTAACAAGTCAAAGAATATTCTAACTGGAGTACCTGCCAAATAATCGAACATAACATTTGCAATTATGATTTTAAATCCAAACAATATCAATGTGTTCAATGTTTTCCTTAAATATATTGCTAATTATAGCTACATGTTTTTGTTTAATAAGAACAGCATCATGTCAACATTTTTTACCTTCAGTCTGTTGCCTTCATGAAGTATTAAGCGATTCGTCAGGAATACTGACAAAAAACATCGCTGGCTCAAGTGGTATCGAATTACCGATACTTTTTGCGAGTATCGAAAGTATCGATACTTTTGTAAGTATCGATGATTTCGATACTTTTCCGATAGTATCGCCCATCACTAGAGTGAACATCTCTCTGACTAAACCAATATGGAAGCTTTTGAACGACAAGAGTGTCAGGCTGCGATACTTTGTGAAAAGAAACAGCATGTTATTGCTGTATTGTTGCGATCATCATTATGACTTGTGTTTTACTATACCAAGTTTACCTTTTTTAAATATTTGCATGGGACATGTTGTCACTTTAGCTTGATAAATAATTCGTCTGAGCGAAGGAATTGTGTTTATATTCCCAGTAGCGAGGCTCTTCTTTCTAACTTGGATGACGTTAAATCTCCGTGTATCATCAACGTGATGAAAACAAGCGCAATAGTTAAGGTTGGTATACTACAATGCATTACAGTTACCTTGTTATTTAGTACAAAATTATGGCGTTATATTTGTGTTTAATGCCTCTAGTTTGACCCTATTGTGTGTGTCTATGTACTGTGTCACTGCATGTGATACATATGTACATGGTTTGAGTTAAACAAATTGTTTAATAAATTTTTGCTGAAGTATGATGCCTGTTTGTATCTAGTTGTGGATAAATTTTCACATAATGTGCATACAATAGTTAGATATTTTTCAATTTTCATTTGTAAAATATTGCCATATTTGTGTGTTGTTCTATAAATATTACTGTAAATAGTGACACACTTTTGCATTAGATTGCTAATTTTAGAGATTACAGTTTATGTACAAAATAATAAAATAAAAATATTCTTGTTATGATTTTGTAGAAACTAAGAGATCTATTTGAGTGGTTGGCTGGTCTTGAACCTGGTCAGCATCGATATGGTAATAAAGGTGATAGGGCAGAAAGTGGTGACCAGTTAAGTGATGAGGATGAAAGTGACGAGGACGAAATCACCCATGCTGTACCATTCAAGTGCATCGGTGCTGCTCATGAGAAAAATTACCAACATCATTTGGAACAGGCATACCTTGCTCTTCATGGACAAGATAAACCAGTGAATGTAAGAATACGGCCAGAGCCATTGAATCCAATGGACCCAAGTGCAATTGCAATTCATGTAGACTATGGAACTGGATGGACACATATTGGTTATATTGCATGCTTCTCAACTATGCGAGTATTTGCACCCACTAATTGTCACAGGAGATATCTTAGCGCGCTCTCCATTTAATGGCCTGACCGATCAGACCAGAATTTTTGTCTCTGTGTCAATGGGAAGATCTGGTCTATGTTTCTCAAATATTTAGCGAAAATGGACCTCATTCTAATCTTATCTCAATTTTCCGGTCAGATAGGTCCGAAGCCCAAACGTTTTGTGTTCCATTCAACAATTTGATCGTTGTGACCGGTCTGGCCGTCTCCTATCAATTCCACCAAGTGAAGTGCAAGAAATCAGATCATTGAAGTCCACCTTGTAACAACCCGCACATCCGATTACCTATATATACATGAACTTACGGTTACAGCTCAACAGCTGGCCTCTGTAGCTCAGTTGATTAGAGTGCTGCACCGGAATCGCAGGGCCGTAGGTTCAATTCCTACCAGATGACCTTGTGCTGCATTTTTCGCAGTCGTTAGGTCTTAAAGTGTATATATACTCACTTGGATTACAAACCCTTAAAAACAGCATTCTACTATCAATTCCACCAAGTGAAGTGCAAGAAATCAGATCATTGAAGTCCACCTTGTAACAACCCGCACATCCGATTACCTATATATACATGAACTTACGGTTACAGCTCAACAGCTGGCCTCTGTAGCTCAGTTGATTAGAGTGCTGCACCGGAATCGCAGGGCCGTAGGTTCAATTCCTACCAGATGACCTTGTGCTGCATTTTTCGCAGTCGTTAGGTCTTAAAGTGTATATATACTCACTTGGATTACAAACCCTTAAAAACAGCATTCTACTATCAATTCCACCAAGTGAAGTGCAAGAAATCAGATCATATTTTATTCTTTCTATTGATACTTCAAAACACAAAAAATCCCCTCGAACTGACGAGTTATCGCGGTTTTCAAACTGACGAGTTATCGCGGTTTTCATTTTCAAATGGGGTATATTTCGGTGCTATAAAAGAAATGGCATTGATATACGCCAGGGGTTAAATAGTTTATAAATCGGGA